CTTTGTGCAGAGTGCAGCACTTCCTTGACTAAGCCATTACACAGGTCCCTCCCCAGATACTGAAGTTTAAGCTCCATATCCACCACAAAGGGGAAGGATGAATTACTGGGGGCTATTTTGGTTTCAAATGATTACTGAAAGGACAAGAATTCATCAATTTTTGATCTAGAAAAGACCTTCGAGCAATGCTAAAATCCACCTCCATATTCTTGTGTTATAAAATCCCTGTCTGGAAACTGACAGCTCAATGTAGACATTAATCACAACCATGTCCATGGCTCCCAGGAAAAAGAGAAGCTGCAGCGAACAAAATTGCCACCAGATTAAAAAATGTTCTTTCCTAACATGGCCTCTGGAATCCTAATCACATTTATGCAAATTCTTGCTTTTCACTTATATCCTAGGCAGCAAAATTGCCCCTCACATTTAACACTCATCAAGGTAATGTGAATGCAGATCCCTCTGCAAGCACTTTCATTTAGCCACTATAAATGGAACCTCCTTGTATAAAATGTACAAAGATATTTGCATTGACTGATACAGTAACTAATCCTACTTACTTTTGGAAATATCCTCTGGTCTTCTGCCATAAAGAAATATCCATCTTTTAAAAGGAAGAAAAAATCTAGGGGATGAATGCACTCCTTGGTGAACTGGCCCCCAAAGCTGTTTGCTCCCTAAACCAGAAGATAGTGCCTTCATGGAAAGGAGAGAGCACCCCCTAGTGAAACTGTTTCTGAACAGTCAACACCAAATTTCCATCTCCCATTTTCCTTTTCTTAATTTCTAAATGACATTCAAAATCCTTTCTTGTAGGATTTTGAAATGTATACTAGATATAAACTACATTTATTTGTTAGTTATAYTCACCCTATTGTGCAAGAGAACAACAGAATGTATTCCTCCTATCTGTAACTTTGCACCTGTTGACCAATCATCTCCATTTTGCTTGCCATAGAATCTCAGGTCCCAACAGTGGTGACTGTATTCGAGAAGCTGAGGCCCAGTGCCTAGGGCCCAGAAGCTTTTTACAATTAACTGTTTGAGATCTGCAGAAAGCTATTGGCTCCAAAAGGGCTTTTTAAATTACAAAGCTAAAATTAACAAATRTGTTTAAATGAATACAAAACACAACTCATCACAAGCAATTTAACTCTTAGTTATATGAAAATTATATTTAATGTGTGATGTGGGCTCATTTTACTATTTTCTTTCTTCAGAGATGGATCCTCTTAGGAGTTAAAGGCACATTTTCCATAGAGTTTATTTCTAAAGATCCTTCATGACCATAGACATAGTAAACCTAAGTTAACATTATTCTCTTAAAGATATTAACAACAATAAATGAGCTGGGAATGGTGGTACATGCCAGTAATGCTAGCAGCTCAGGAGGCTGAGGCAGGAGGATCACAAGTTTAAAGACAGCTTCAGCAACTGAGGAAGGCCCTAAGCAACTTAGGGAGACCTTGTCTCAAAATAAAAAATAAAAAAGGGCCAGGCATGGTGATGCACGCTTGTAATTCCAGCAGCTCAGGAGGCTGAGGTAGGTGGATCGTGAGTTCAAAGCCAACCTCAGCAACAGTGAGATGCTAAGCAACTAACTTAGAGACACTGTCTCTAAATAAAATACAAAATAGGGCTGAGGATGTGGCTCAGTGGTCGAGTATCCCTGAGTTCAATCCCTGGTACCAAAAATAAATAAATAAATTTAATTTTAAAAAATGAAAAAGGGCTGGGGATGTGGCTCAGTGGTTAAGCATCTCTGGGTTCATTCTCTCACCTCCATACATAGACAAAAAGCAATAAATGACAGAAAATCTTTAAAAAGTAATAAGACATGCAATTGCTTGGTAAAAGTTTACACATATTCCCAATTTATTTAAATCTTTACAATAATAAATTAAAGAAGAATTTTTTGGATAATTTTTTAAATTTTGATTTTCTTGACTTTTATCAAAGTACAAAATATTTTAAGTTTTGAAGCAAAATAAGTCAGAGTCAAAAAGGATAACAAGCATAGTACTAACTTGAAAGATCATAGTATGTGAATCTAGAATCAGGTATATTTTTTTAAAGAGAGTGTGTGTGTGTGTGTGTGTGTGTGTGTGTGTGAGAGAGAGAGAGAGAGAGAGAGAGAGAGAGAGAGAATTTTTTAATATTTATTTTTTAGTTTTCAGCAGACACAACATATTTGTTTGTATGTGGTGCTGAGGATAGAACCCGGGCTGCACGCATGCCAGGCGAGCGCGCTACCGCTTGAGCCACATCCCCAGCCCCAGATATTCTGATTAGGAGTTGTATGACTTGGGATGTTTTACTTAACCTCTCTGTGCTTCAGTATACTAAGCTGTAAGTTGGGCATAAAAGAGTAATTCCCTCTCCGGTTTGTTGCAACACTAAAGTGAGTTCATGTACGTGAAGTATTTAGAATAGTACTTAGGTCATAGTTAGAATTTAATGAATGCTAGCAATTAGCTATTATCCAATCAAATCATATCAATCTTAGATTTCCAGAAAAAAGAACAAATTTATATTTTGGATAAATTAACTCTKGCCCAACAACTGCCAATCACTATTATTTTATTTTGAATTTTTTAAATTCAGAAATACTCAAATTTGCAAAAGTTACAAAAATAAAAATAATCSAAGGAATCCTTATGTGGCCAGTTTTTACCCAAGTTTGCTTACTGTTAACATCTCCTTCCTTTGCTTTGTCCTTTGTGCTACACATCACTGCAAATTTGTCTCAACTTAATGTTCAAAATTTATTATGTACTTATTTGACATTTCTGAGTAACCAATTACTACAAATAGCACCTGAAGACATCACCAGTTTATAAGTTCACAGTGATATCAGTCCCAAGTCTGGAGATAGCATAGCCAAATTCACTGCTCAGAGCCTAACAAGGCTAAAATCAAAGATTGGCCTTTCCGGCAGCTCTGGGAAGAATCTACTTCCAAGCTTATGCACTACTGATGGCCAAATTCAGTTTCTTGCAGTTATACAACTGAAGTCCCTGTCTCCTTGCTGTTAAATGTGGGTCACTCCAAGGTCCTAGAGGTCACCCACATTCCTCACAACATGTCCCCATCCATCTTCAAAGCCAGCAGTAAAGAATGTGCCTCATAGCAAATCTTCCTCCAGTTTTTTCTAAGGGATATGAGCAGGCCATTTCAGCATTCGGCCCACCACGTGTGATGAGACACATTGTGTATTTTACTCTGTTTGGGCTAGCATAACAAATATCAGAGACTGGGTGGTTTAAACAACAGAAATTGATTTCCTCACAGTTCTGGAGGTTGAAAGTCCAAGAACAAAATATCAGCAGGTTTGGTGTCACCTGAGGCCTCTCTCCTAGGTTTGTAGATTGCTGCCTCAGGCTGGGTTAACCTTACATGACCTTTCTCTCAGGACATTCACAATCCTGTTGTCTTTGTGTCCAGACTTGCTCTTTTTCCTTTTGTGGGGGTGGGATGGGATTAAACCCAGGAACACTTTCCCTCTGAGTTATAACCTCCAGCCCCTTTTATGCTTTTCTGTTTGTTTGTTTTTTGAGACAGGGTCTTCCTAAGTTGCCAAGGCTGGCCTCAAACTTGTGATCCTCAGCCTCCTGAGTCTCTGGGATTATAGGCATGTGCCTTTTCTTGCAAAGACACCAGTCACACTTGAATAAGTCTTCAGTCATGACTTTCAGGGAACATAATTCAGCCCAAACAGTGGAAAAACAAAATTAAGAGCCAATAGTTAATGAGCTACTGGGCAGATCCTGTGCTAAACATTTTTTTTGTAGACTATCTCACTTAATATAAATCACTAGATTAAATTACATGCCATTAGATCAAATTTCAGATTTCTCAAAATGTTTTCTTCATTCTTGATTAGGAATTCTAGAGGATTTCTTTTGTGATCTGATTCCTAAATCCATCTGTCTCTACTATAATGTGTCCCCATGCTCCATTTTTAGGACAATATCTTTCACCCACCAAGTTTGGTTGAGCAGTTGAGCTTGGTACAGAGACACTAAAATCAGTAATCAAAATTCCTGCTCTCAGAGAGTTTAATCAAGTAAGAAAGACACATTTTATGTATGTCTCCATGTTCATTTTGAAAACTCTTACATAATAAGCATGAATTATATCTATAGAATCTGCACAATTAAGTTATTATGAAAGCTGAGACATTCAAAATTAAACTAATGATTTCCAGAAAAATAACCCCTCTCTGAATATTTGATTTTGCCTTTACCTTCTTGAGCTGCAAGATCCCTAATTGTATGTGGCTTTTTGGTAAATTCTCTGTGATTGGAGAAGACCCACCTGGGATTTGAAGATGAAAAGTAGTAACACAAAAATACTACAGCTGATTAGCTTAGGTGTTTCAAGTTCCACTGGAAAGAAAAGGAGAAGGGGTGGGGGAAAGAAAGGAAGGAGAGAAAGGAGAGGGCAAGAAAGAAGGAAGAGGAGAAAGAGAGAGAAGAGGAGAGGAAGAGAGAAAAAGAAAAAGGAAGGAAGGAAAGAAGGCAGGCAAGTAGGCATTTAATACAAAAAAACACAGCAGGGAAGAGCCCTGGAAGGAAAGGTTCTGAAAAACCTAGAAAACCTTTCATTTTTTCACGGTCCACCCCACTCACTTTGTGTGCCACTTGCGGAAACTTCTTACGGAGGCGAAGGCAGCATTTGCAAGTACTRAAGGAAATGAAATTGGCGGGCCAGGCGCTGTCAGCCGTGAGCCAGGTGCGATGATGGCAAGCCCAGGAAGCGCCCCTTCCTCCCGCGCGGTGGGGCCAGCTCCCTGCAGGCTCTCTGCCCTCCCCGCCCCTCCCAGCCCGCAGCCTGCAGTCTCTTCCTAGTGCGCCGCGGGCCAGGTGAGTTGTGCATCCCGCTCATCACTTCATTCGCGGCGCCTGGGGAGCACTGCCCGGCCCCGTGCGGCCCGCACGGCCCCGCCTCGCAGCGTGCCACTGAGGGCTTGATAAATGGCTTGTGCGCCCCGTGCCCACAYCTCGATCACGTCCTCAGTCCACAACAGTGGGACCTCCGCCCATGGAGGTGAACACATACCTGGAACTCTACCTGGACCGATGCGCTGCCCAGGTGAGCCGGGAAACTACTGTCCCGGAGTCAAGGCCCCCGCCCTACTGCTGAGCGCCAAGGCGAAACACCACGGAGTTCCCTTTGCTTCCCCCAGTCTTTTCTGGCTACCACGGGGCTCTGCCTCGCTGAGGCAAAGGTAGACTTCTATTCCGCTCAGCACTGGTGCTTACTTGAAGCTATGGCAGCGTTTGATGCCAAAGTTAGGCTAAAGAAAGTCTCCCTGGGGGAGTTGGTTATGGGGTTTACGAAAATGTGAACTGTAGGCACCTGTGGCTTCCATCCTTAAGAGACAGGGTCTTGGTATGATGCCCAAGGTGGTCCTGAATTCCTAGGCTTAGGTGAAGAAACCATGAAGAGGAATTAGGGCCCATTTGTCCCCACTTTTCTTATGGTGGGAGTGGGGATGGGGAGATGGGGTCTAAAATTATATAATTCAACATGAAACAGCCGTCAGAAATCTTGTTTCAAGACAATAACTTCATGTTTCTAAGCAAGTTCTTTGAACAAGTCACCCCTGCCATCTGCTGGTCTTGTAATAATAGAGCAGTCCGATAGGATCCAGCCAGATATTGTGTGTTAGTTGAGGGAGCCTGGTCACCCAGAGGATGCAACATGACGCATGTGATCATGCAGTTGTTCTGTAAGCAGGGCTCAAAATCCAGATCCCAGGTGTGTGCCTTGTGTAAAGCAGGTGGTAATGCGTGCAACAATGGAACACGTTTTTACATCAGCTGCTGCCCTCAGGTGCTGGGTAATGGTAATTGAGCAGCTTCCCTGGGCTGGAAACAGAATACATTGATTTAAACTATTCTTAACATTTCAACTTCAGTAACTTTTCCTATTGTAAATTACATAACTAGAATGTCCTCTTATCCGTTCTTTGACAAAAAAAAATACACTGGGTTATTGGTGTTATTTGGTGAGTCTTGATTAGTAGTTAAGACTATATTTTCATATTTTATAAAATATGAAATTAAAATTCAGTTATTTAAGTCAACTTAATAATTGTTTATAATTAACAAGTAGTACAGTGAATCTAGTATACACTATTTAGAACATGGTTGTTCAATTGTCTCTATTACAAAATTGGATTTAAAGAGTGGCAACTTGGGTGTGATGGTGCACACCTGGAATTCCAGTGGCCTGTGAGGCAGGAGGATCACAAATTCAAGGCCAGCCTCAGTAGCTTAGCAAGGCTCGAAGAAATTAATGAGACCCTGTTTCAAATAAAAAAGGGCTGGAGATGTAGCTTGGTGRTAAAGCACCCCTGGGTTCAATCCCCAGTACTCCCTCAGAATTCTGACAACCACCAAAAACACTTCTAGGTCTTTAACTGAAGTTTTAAAAACATTTTGTGATAAGTATTCTTTCTGTATTTTAAGATACTTTCCTGTTATTGTTTTGTAATCTGTAATGCTTTTTTTTTGGGGGGGGGGGGAGGGGAATTTAGAATTTAATCCAAGTAAAGCATCACAGCTATATCCTCAGCCATTTTTTTTTTTTTTTTTTTTTGAGACCAGGTCTAAGTTCAAGACTGGTCTTGAACTTGTAATCTTCTTGCCTCAGCCTCTGAAGTTACTAGGAGCTGCCTGTAATAGAATCTTAATGATACTTTAAAGAAAGATGCAGGGTATGAATAGAAGCCATCTTGAAATGCCTCAGGCTTAACACAATGCCTGCCTGTCATAGTCCTATCCCTTTGGTGTTTAACATGCTGTTTTGTCTGTTGTGTTTTGTCTGTTTTGGGAACTGCCTAGGATGACCTTGCTCTACCGGTGTCTCCCCTGTTCAGCCCAGTTGTACCTTATGACGGGTACTTACCTAATCCATCCAATTCAGAGATTGCACTTAGTTCTCAACTTGAAGTCGGAGAAACGTCCGGTGATTTCTCATCTGTGGATCTTAGCTTCCTACCAGATGAACTTACCCAAGAAAATAAAGACCAGACTATCATTAAAAGCAAGTGTGAAACTGAAGAAAATGGTAAAACTCGACAAAATAGCTTGCCATTACCCAGTGAACAGCTGAGCGTAAAAAGCAGCAGTTTATCAAATTCCCATTCACATCTGCACCCTGGTAGTGCTGATTCAATCTGGCTCTCTTCTGAGAAAACAAACTCTGATACCTTGCCTCTGTCATCCATAACTCCCATGACTCCAGTTACCCCTCTTTCAGAATGTTCTGGAATTGTGCCTCAAATACAGTAAGTGTTGTTGCTTTTAAATAGATGCTACTGGGTATGCATATTATATTCCTGAATGTGATGACGATTTCAGAATGATAATGTATGGAAGAGAATTTCAGATTTCATTATTAAATATTTCCTAATGGATTATGGCTTTAGACAGTTTGGTTATCTGTAAAAGGAAGTGCCAATTCTTGATTAAGAGAGGGTCAAGGATTAAGACATTTTTTAAAGATTGTGTTGTTTACACTAAAGCACTGCTGTTAAATTGTGGTAAGGGTTGGCTATGAAGATGTAAAATTGGATTTGATTTGCAAATAGTTTTGGAATTGTGGTTTCTGTTTTCAGGCATAGATCTAAAATTTAAAACTTTACTGATGAAATTTTAGAAAAAGCTATTTACTACTTCACTTTGGGATTGTACACTTTATTAGGGACCATGTTACTATATACTTCACTTTGAGAAGAATTCTCTCCCTAGGAAGTTTCTATGGCACAACCTATGAAATGAGGGAGGTAATAAGTTGTTTCATTTTTATTATTTATATCTGATATAATTTTCTAAGTTATTTCTTTAGGAACATAGTTTCCACCGTAAACCTGGCCTGTAGACTGGATCTGAAGAAAATAGCTTTGCAAGCCAAAAATGCAGAATACAACCCAAAGGTAAGATTTCTGAGTTTTCTTTCAACCAGTAGCTTCTCTTTAGATTTACTTTCCTTCATATGATTATAACTCACTTTTAAAAAAACTAATGAAAAGCTTCTGCAACTCAAAAACGTTAACTATCTAAAAGTTATGAAAGATGATCTTTGGTGGTACATGACTGTAATCCCAGCTACTCTAGAGATTGAGGCAAGAGGATCACAAGTTCAAGGACAGCCTGGGCAATTTAATGAGACTGTCTCAAAATAAAAAGGACTGGGGATGCAGCTCAGTGGTAGAGCACCCTGAGTTCAATCCCTAGTACCATAAAATCAACAACATCATCATATTCTCTGTGCTGAATGAAGTAGTAATTGAGTAGTTCCTAAAAATTAATCTTTTCTTTGACATTCAAAAATATTTTTCAGTCTATTTTCAGCTTTCTTAAAATGCCATTATGTTTCTGGAAATACATTCTAAATGTTGTCTCATCTAGCTGACACTTCTATTTTTCCATTTACAGTTTCTCTTAGTTGAGAAAGCTAAATTAAAATTTAATCTTATACTTGCTAATGTAAGAAATAAACTTGCCAAAGTTTATTAAGCTAAATTCTTTGTGCCTTGCCAAGGGCAGGCATGCTCTTTTCAATGATCTGTTTACCTCGGGGGAATTGGATTTGTTAAGCCCATCAACATTTACTGATTTTTTTTTTTGTCTCCAGGCTCTGTACTTAGGAGTATGAAGATAAGGAATACCTGGTTCCTACCAAGAAAAAGTTCACTGGCTTAGGTAGTGGAAGATTTAGTCAAATGAAAAAGACCACATTAGTGCGAACCCAGAGTCCTTGCAACTACTTCTGGATTAACTTTCTTTTGCTGTTGTAGTATTGTTGCTGATATCTAAATTTAATGTTACCTAAGTGTTATCCAAATACAATATAGCTGTCCTTTTAGTTCATATTGCTGGCTATGAAAAGGAAACAGCTAGAATTCCTATGACTACAGCAATGATTAATAACATGATTGAAAAAATCAGCATCTTGCCTACATTCCCTCCCCTCATTTCTTTTTGGAGGACATGTAGCCTCTTTTGACATTCAAAAATATTTTTGTCTATTTTCAGCTCTCAGAATTTATATTTGACTCCCAAAGAAATTCTTGCTTAGCACTTACACTACCTTAGAAATTTAGCAAAATGAATGGTAAGGCTATTACCTTTCAGTAATAAATACCTGAAAAACATTAGTAGGACTTGATCAATTCTGTGTTAGTGTTGACTCGGGTTTCAGCTAAATAGGGAGAGTAGAGTTGGGAAAGTGTGAGGGCCAGCAGGAGAGACAGGTCATTTAATGACATGTGGAGGACCAATAGGTCTCAATTCTCACAGCATCAGCCTCACCTGGAGAGTTTGCCAACTTTAAGAACTATGGAAGGCTGACAAAGCAGCCTTTTCCTTCATCTTCAGGATGTCTGTCATTATATATATTCAGTTCTGTATTTTGGTTACCTGGGTACTCTCTAGAGTTTTGGCACACCTGTAATATACTATACTTGAACTTTTCCCAAAATCCTTTGTGGAGGGGAGTACATCAGCATAACAGTCTGATTAGTTGTGACTTTATATCCTAAACATACCATTTTCTGTTTAATATTGGAAGTTAAGTAACCACTTAGTTTCCTTCTGTACTAAGTGAGGATAATGATGGACTCAGTCAGGTCATGAGGATTAATGAGAGATAACCTGTAAAGTTCATAACTCGGAACCTGAAACATAATGGGCACTCAATTTTAGCTGTCACTATTTGTATTTTAGATTCTTTTAGATTCTCAATCATTTTTGTAAATGATTAATAAACCATTGTTTGTTTGTTTTTCCATCCAATCTGTTTCTTCAAGACTGTTTTCTTATCCATCCCAGGTTTTCAACTGAGCTAGTGCTAACTTCTAACAGGCTAATTCTTCTCTTGGTTCTGTGTACAGAGGTTTGCCGCAGTCATAATGAGGATCCGAGAGCCCAGGACAACAGCCCTCATATTTAGCTCTGGGAAAATGGTCTGCACAGGAGCCAAAAGGTATGAAGAACCACCCTCCACTGTTATAAGACAAACAACTTACTATGTAAAACAAGTGTAGCTATTAGTATAGCAACCTGGGCTCAGGATGTAGCTCATTGATAGAGTGGCAGCCTAGAATATACAAGGCCCTGGATCTGATCCCCAGTATAGGGGATGTGGGAAGCACATAATGGGAGCAATATATTTTTCTTTGCTGAATAGTTCACACCATGAAATGCCAAATTCTAAGTTAAAAGAACTCAGTCTAATAATACTGAGTTATGGCCCACACATTACAGTCTGTCAGTTAAACCAAATTATGTCCCCTAGACTTACCTGGGGAAGTATTATTACAATTTGTTTGTTTGTGGTCCTGGGTATTGAACCCACGGCCTTGCACATGTGAGGAAAGCACTCTACCAACTGAGTTATATCCCYAGCCCCTTTACAATTTATTTTTAAGAAGCATTAAAAAAAACTATAGTAATGACAAAGCATATTATAAGACTAGAGAAGTCATCACGGTGGACTTTTCTCATTGCAGATAAATGGGTAGAATTTTCAAAATGAAYATTTCTTGAGCATTAGCTCAGGAGGCAACACTGACAAGGCTTCTTTCTGGATCTCCTGCAGAAGAAGCCCTAGGCTAATATATATTCTTTCACCATAAAGCTAGTGGAAGGGATGCTTTTCCCTATAGGTGCTGGAAGATGTGTAGGAAGTTGTCTTCCTGGAAGGTTTTACCAATTTCTACTTGCCTACAGATGTGCCAAGCATTAGTTTTCTCCCATAAATGCTGGCTATAAATGTTCAAATATGTTTGTTAAATTGATGGACAAAGTTATGTTTTAATATACATTTACTTGATTACTAGATTAAGTATCATTTCATAATCATGTTAAATTGCTTAGTATGTATTTGGTTCAATATTCTACCATATTTGTCTTTTGTTAATAGCTTATTTTTTGTACTTGGGATTGACCCAAGGGGTGCTTTACTACTGAGCTATATCCCCAGTATTTACTTTAAAATTTGAGACAGGGGGCTGGGGATGTGGCTCAAGTGGTAGCGCGCTCGCCTGGCATGCGTGCGGCCCGGGTTCKATCCTCAGCACCACATACAAACAAAGATGCTGTGTCCGCCAAATACTGAAAAATAAATATTAAAGTTCTCTCTCTCTCTCCCTCTTTCTCATTGTCTCTCACTCTTTCTTTAAAAAAAAAAATTTCAGACAGGGTATTAAGTTGCTAAGCCTGGTCTTGAATTTGTGATCCTCCTGCCTCAGCTACCTGAGTCACTGGGATTACTGATGTGTGCCACTGTGCCCAACTTTTTGTTAATAGCTTTTTATGGTTAAGTTTTCATTTTATATATATATTTTTTCTCAGATTACTTTTGTGTTTTGTGGTGACTTTTTAAAGTTCCATTAAAATTTTGGGGTGTATATATAGTCTATCCAATTTTTCTGGTTTTAGTTTCATGTTTGGGAAGGCATTCCCCTTGCACAACATTATATAAAGATTTCCATATTTTCTTGTCTTTTTCAGGTCCTGCTTTTTACTAGGGAAAGGGTAGCTGACATTTTGATTCCCATAGAGCTTTCTCTAGATGATGGGAATATTCTGTATCTGCTGTCCAGTGGAATAGCCACTCATCACATGTGACTGTTGAGCACTGGAAATAGAGCTAATGCAACTGTAGGACTGAATTTTTAACTTAAGTTCATCAGATGGAGCAGATCTAGAATTCTGTCAATATAAAATGACTTCTCAAACCATTATATACATATACATATATACATATACATTCTGACTCTGTTCTCCTCCACCTTTTTTATATTTTTTTACATGTATCTGAATAAACTTCTGGACTTTCTCTTCAATTGATCTATGGATCCCTAGTCCCAGAAATCTCCATTTAAAAAATTTTATTGGACATTTATGCAAGATATTTGTAAGGGTGTTCATTTCAGCATTGTTAAAATGGGAGAAACCAAATTAAAAACCTGATGTTTTGATTTAAAGTCAAAGTAAATTGCATTAGCTATATACATGTATATTGAATTGGAAGGATGGTCATATGTTATGTTGGACTGGTTGTGGAGCAGGCAACTAAATTATAGGTTCATTATCCAACTTTCATTGTGAGATATGCTCATATTATGCACATATTCATGAATCTTTCCCCTCTGAATTTGGTTTCTAAAATCTGAGGTAAAAGCTTGGATAGTGARATCAGTTAGAGAGATTTATTATCCAAATCTTTTGGGTTCTTAAGTTTTAAAGTAAGTTGTTGGGGTTTGGTTAGTAAAAAATACCAGTGATGCAAAAAAATTTATCTAAACCTATTTAGTTATAATAGCAAGAGTAAAGAACACTGTATTTGCTTTGGAAGAGTGCAAAAGGTAAAATTTAAGTGGTTATTACTATTGATGAGATTTCAAGGTTTTAAACACATTTTCTAATGTTTGTACAATGTAGACTTTCAACTGTTATTTGAATAGGAATGTTTTTTGTACTGGGAGGCCAACTCGGCACTATCCACTGAGCAATATCCTCAGTCCCTTTTAATTTTTTGAGACAGGCTCTAAGTTGCTTAGAGCCTCACTAAGTTGCTGAAGTTGGTCTCAAACTTACAATCTCATGCCACAGCCACTCAAGTTGCTGGTATTACAGGAATGTCCCACCATGCCCGGCTTCAAGAGGAATTTATATGTGATGGTCACACATAGTATCTCAAACTACAGAACTATGTTAGTTCTTATAATTTGAATTCATTAACATGAGAAATGTAATGGGTCAGTTAGGCAAAATGTAGTTTTTCAAAATGGAAGTTAACTTTACCACTGGCGGAGGACATGGTCTTGTTAAGGACATTTCAGGAGTTAGAGGTGGATGAGAAAGTCTGAGCAAAATTGGGCAGGTTTAAATGTATTGACATTTTTAGCATTTTATTACATAAAGACTCAAGACTGTACCGCTCAATTGGCACCTAAGCTTTCTTCCTTCTGTTTTTTTTTCTTTTTAAATTTTATCCTTGTTCCACCATAAATGTTGCACACTCTAAATTTTAGAACAGACAGGTGGTTCTCAAGCTTCGAGCATCAGAAGCACTAAAGGGCTTATTAATACCAGTACGCAGGTCCCCCCGCACAGTGTCTGCATGTCTAAGGTGGAACCAGGGGCTTGGTCTTTCCAACAAGTTTTAAGGTGCTGCTGATGATCTGAGGACACACACTGAGAACCAGTGGAATAGTTCAATTATCAAATAACACAAGTAAAAGTACCTTATATGGGACAGGTGAAGAATTAAGACAATTTATGGTTCAGTTGAACAACTGTACATTGTATCAGACCTTTGACAAGATACTAGGAACAGAATTATGAGAGGTAGGTTCTTCTGAAACCTACAGTTACATAGCACACACTGAATGGTAAACATGGCATAAAGAGTAAAAATAAGAATGATGTAAATATGGCACAAATATTAAAGGGGACATGGTGTTAAGATGTCTTTAATCATATTTGTCTTTCCCCAGTGAAGAGCAATCTCGACTAGCAGCAAGAAAGTATGCTCGTGTGGTGCAGAAGCTTGGGTTCCCTGCCAGATTTCTCGATTTTAAAATTCAGAACATGGTTGGAAGCTGCGACGTGAGATTTTCCATCAGGCTGGAGGGTTTGGTGCTAACCCATCAACAGTTCAGTAGGTATGACAAAACTGTTATAGAGCTTAACTTTGCATTTACCAAGATTTTGAGGTTTCATTGAGGGCTATTTATATACAGGGTTTTTTTTTTTTTGTCATTGTTGTTTGCTTTGGATACTGGGGATTAAACCCAGGGGTGCTTAACCACTGGGCAACATCTCCAGCCCTTACGTTTTTTTGTTTGTTTGTTTTAATTTTGATTCAGGGTCTCTCTAAGTTGCTAAGGCTGGCTTTGAGCTTGCAATCCTTCTGCCTCAGCCTCCGAAGCTCCTGGGATTACAGATAGGCACTGCACTCTTAGCATATAAAGTATTAGAGAAAGCAATTATCAAAAGAGGGGGAGGCACAGTAGGTTAGATGGTTCAGATGCTGTGTCTGAGTCCTTATGGATCCACATATAGGCCCATTCTTTTGAAAAAGTGGTTCTCATGCTTAAATTGTGTAGTGATCACCTGTGTCCTTATTAGAGTCTACATTCCTGGCTGGGCTACATCACCAGAGACTTTGATTTTAAGTCCTAAAAAGCTCATAGGTGATGCCAGTGTTCCTGGTCAGAGGCCTTTGGTTTGAGACCCACTGATTGACAGACTTAAAAAACAGGCACACGAGACTTTGATGGCAATAGCAAAAAATGAAGGGGTGCAATACAGGTTGGGCAAGTAGGAGGGGGTTACAGCTGGTGAGCAGAGAAAGGGTTGGAGAGAAAAATGAAAAAAAATTGTTGTAGCATATTTCTAAAAAAGCAATCGTACCTACTTGTCTTGTTTTGTTGGGGGTGGCTCTTTTGGTGACTATAGCTGTATCCTCCATCACAATGTTTACTGTATTTTACTCCCAAGGAAGTCTCCAGCCCTTCATGTCTTCTTCACACCTAACTTTTTGTTTGAACCACCATTTTTTTTCTTCTGATCCTACCTGATTTGGCCCTCAGAGCAATGCTGGGGGTTGACAGACCAATGCCAAATCCCTCCACTCCTTTGGCTATGCACCTGGGCCAACACATCTAACTTGGCTTAGAATCACAAATGCTTTTAAATTCTCTTGATCAAGCTTGAAATTAAGTTCTTTCATTCAAACATTTCACCTTCTCTTTGCCAGTGAACACTCAGTCTGTTTAATAGAGTGGATGGGGATAGTGGAAGTCATGCTTTTCTTTTAAAGATGATCTCAACAGAAGTTTAAAAATTGCTGGGTTTTTCATTCTAAGATTTAGCTTTTATGATATGCATTAGTCAGTGTTTTTCACATGAGACTTGAAGAATGACTTTAGGATGGCCAAGAAATTGGCAGGAGTTTAATACCCTCAGTCTGTATGGAATATTTTCTTAACGAAAACTACTCCTTTTCTCTGCCTTAGCCCTTATTTATTTTCAGAGAAGGGAATTGAATCGGAGGCCTTGACCACTCGGCTATATTCCCAGCCTCTTATAGAATGAAAAAGAATAAACTAAATATCTAATCAGGAGTTCATTATGCTGGTTACCTTACAACCATGATTTTGAAGGTAAATGATCTCTCTTGAAATTACTGAACACTGCCACTGCAGTTCACCATTTACACACCAAGGTCTTGTTTACTTTTTCCCCCTCAGATTCCTAAGATTCAGTTGGAAGATGAGATGAAAACTTTCCTTCTGTCTCCCCAGCCTTCATCTTCTTGGCCTGGACCTCAAAGCTCTGGAAGGGTTTTCAGGACTCAGCTAGTATCATGGTCTCTTGAAGACCAGGAAGCAGAAAGTGGATGGGAATCCTGATATTTYCTGCAGTAAGGCAGAGTGGTGTTCCAGAGGAAAGGTCTACCATGGTGACTTTCATGCCCTACACAAGGCTCACATCACAACTGCAGTGCATCTTTCTGGTGCTAATAAGAGGTTTCACATCTGTTATGGATTTTATTCATTGTAGAACTAAACAGAGCTTCTCTGTGTGGTCTGGGTTTACCCTTTAAATGCAAATATTCATGTACATTATATCAGATTTCTTTTTTTCTATTCTTCATTAGCCATTGTTTTGAGAATAGTTTTACTTCATCAGCCTCCTTTTTTGTTCTAATTAGTTGTACATGACAGCAGAATGCATTTCCATTCACTGTACACAAATGGAGCCAACTTTTCACTTCTCTGGTTGTACACGATGTAGAGTCACACCATTCATGCAATCTTACATGTATCTAGGGTAATGATGCCCATCTCATTCCACCATCTTTCCTACCCCAGTGCCCCCTCCCCTCACTCCCCTCTGTCCAATTCAAAGTTCTTCCATTCTTCCCAGGTGCACTCCCCTGCCCCTCCCATTATGGATCAATATCCACTATCAGAGAAAACATTTCATCAGCCTCCTCTTATCTCCTGACTTCCATGTGGGCAGCTTCTCAACCTCTTTATGGACTCTGTCCTGTTTGGACTGGGGTAYAGAGAGGTGGTTTTTAAGTCCTATCATCTTTTGCCCCATAGAAGCCAGATTACATTTGGTAGTAAATATGAATGAGTTACTATTCACAGGAATAAATTCTGAATTTTACAAACTCGGGATAGTTTAGTTATCTTTCTTTACATAGTAATTATCCAAAGAAAAATCACTGGTCTAGAAATTTTTAGGCCCTATCTGGGCCAAAAAATACTAAATCTTTTGATTATTAGGAACTTGGAAAATCCAGGAAATTGTATTCATGTACTGTTATTGGCAGACTTTTGTTGAAAGGTGGAGAACTTTAATCAACAAGATCATAATACATTAAATCTGATGCCCTAAATTACCTCAGTTTCTAATAACCTAGGCTGACTTGAAAATGAAAAAATATAACCAAAAATTCTGTTCTTGACTGCCAGAAGTGTCTATGCTCAGGGTTGGAGTATAGCTCATTGGGTAAGTGCATGCACAAGGCCCTGGGTTTGATTCCCCAGTATTGTATGCAAAAAAAAAAGTGTCCTCAGGATACTACTTTTATCAAGATAACTAAAAGTACTTTTTTTTGTTTTTTGTTTTTTGCTTTTTAAATAGCACTTATTTGTAACTGCTTAATATACTGGGTCTTGAATGTTTGTGGAAAGTAGCTGAATAGTGCTATTTTTAACCTTTTCCTTTTTTGTCTTAATAGTTATGAACCTGAACTGTTTCCTGGCCTTATTTATAGAATGGTAAAACCACGAATTGTGTTGCTTATCTTTGTGTCTGGGAAAGTCGTGTTGACAGGTAGGTTCTAAAATTATTTTCTGACTTTCACATAATTCAATAGCTATGTATATGCTTTGCTTTTCCTTTTTAAATAGCTTTGTTCCTAGAAGGTAATTTCCTACTATAGAATATTGGTAAAATGGGATTTATAAAGTAATATAACATCACCTGGTGGTCCCAATTCCTAAAACAATATGGCTTTTTTTTGGGTGTCATTTTGAGGGGCAGTGTATGCACATAGCTCAGCAGATAAATATTTGCCTAGCATTCACAAGGTCCTGGGTTTGAACCCCAGTACTGTATGCCAAAAAAAGTGTCCTCAGGATAACACTTTTATCACATATACACATATATTTATATATATTTTCATCTTTACATTCAGTCCATTTTATTAAGATTTTACTAATAAGTAGCTTAATAAGTAGCTTGTTGCTTACTAATAAGTAGCTTGATGCATACTTATGATGGCTTTTAATGGCTAAACAATGTTCTAAGACRGGTCAGCAAGCCTTTTCCATAAGGGACCAATAATAAGTATTTAGGCTTTGTGAGCCATGGGGTCTCTCTTGGAATTACTGAATTCTGCCACTGTAGTACAAAAGCAGCTATGGAAATCACACAGAGAATAGGCTTGTATATTTTTTGTGAATTTCATAGAATTTATGGATAGGCAAGTGCTATATCACTGAGCTACATCTCTAGTCCTTTGTTGAGACAGGATGTAACTAAGTTTCCCAGGCTGGCCTCAAACTTGCAACCCTCCTGCCTCAGCCTCCCAAGTATTTGGGATTACAGGTGTGGATCACTGCCCCCAGCTTCTCCTTAAAAACATAACCATCCTTCTTAGCTCACAGACTAACAAAAATAGAGGGCTGACTTTGGCCAGCAGACCTACATTTCCTGACCCCTATTCTAGCAAGTTGTTGAATCAACATTATTCTCAGTGTCAGATACTTGAACAGCTTTTTTGTTTGCTACCTATAAATGGCACAAACATTTGGTTATTTTAATTTGTGCAGAATTATTAGTGTGGACACTGAGAAATGGAACTTCTGAGGATATGACTGCTTTCAAGGTTCTTAGTACAAATTGCCAAATTCTTTTAAAGGTATACAATGGTTTTCCTGTATCATACATTCCTGCCAGCGATGTATCTAAGTATCTTTTGCCAAACCCTCAGCAACACAAAAAAAGTAGAAAACTTTTTAAATTATGTAAGTGAAATGATCTTACTACTTTAACATTACTAGTAATCAGAAATTGATAGCTTTTCAACATAGCCAATAAGTAGCATTTTTTTCACGTAAATAATGTGTACATAATATACCCTTTTGTCAAGTTTTAGTTATTTGCCCTCCTTGGAATTTGTACTAAATCACCATAATCTTAAAGATATTTGTGAATTTCTTCCATTAATTTATTATTATTATTATTATTATTATTATTATTTTGATACTGGGGATTGAACTTGGGTGCTTTACCACAGAGCAACATCTCCAGTCCCTTTTAATTTTTTGAGACAGGGCCTCACTAAATTGCTTAGATTGACCTTGAACCTTCTGCCTCAGCTTCCAGAATTGCTAGATTACAGGCATGTACCACCACGCCACTAGGCTCCCCTTAATTGATTTTTTTTTTTTTACCAATTTTTACATAAAGAAGGCTTTAAAAAAATTCTTGAGGTAAATGATTGAATTTCCATGTAATTTCACCAAAGTTTGCTGTTTTTGCCTAGTTTTATCTGACTTTTTTTGTATTTTACTCTTCTCCCAAAATGAATGTCAGGTTTATAAAGCATGAGCCAAATTTGAGTTTCACATCCCACTCCCAAATAACCACCCAAATCGATGTTGAACGTTCTTATTTTCTTTGTGATTTTTGACTTTYATTTTTTCATGTGGGTCTGTTTCTGCCTATTGCAATCCTACTGCATTTATCCTCATGAATCTTTAATTCTTGTGTTCTTTATATCTGATAGAAAGATCCAATTTCCTCTCCTTGTTTCTCTATCTTTCTTATCACCTCTTGCAGTTACTCTTCCAAAAAACTTCATCCCTTCTTTAAAAATTAAGATTTTTGTGCCAGGAATAGTAGTACATACCTGTAATTCCAGCAATTCGAGAGGTTGAGTCAGGGAGATCCCAAGTTCAASACCAGTCTCAGAAACTTAGCAAGGCCCTGTCTCAGAATAAAAAATAAAAAGTGCTAGGGATGTAGCTTAGTGGTGAAGTGCCCCTGGGTTGAATTCCCAGTACTCACTTACCCCAAGATTTCTGTATTACCTGAACTAAGAAAAATTGTTGTCAACTTGGCATCCAGCAGAATGGAATGTTTGTTTTAAAAAGTCTTATAACTCTCATAAAGTTATATAGTTTGCTCTTTTAGAAATAACTGTCTTCAAAGCAGGTAAAGCCTATTTGGAAACTTGATTCTTTTGACTAGAGCAAAACTACAGTTCCTCAGATGTCACAAATTTAGATTCAGGAGGGACTTCCCAGTGACTARCATGTATATCCTAGAGGAAGGGAAAGCCTGCTAAGTAAATTGAGTAGTACTGATACTAAAGGCATATATGGATCCTACTTAATAGGAAGAAACTTTTCAAGACTTTTTGGAAGTATACTTTCATGTATATTGTGTGTATCATTATGAATCAATCTCATTAAGTGTATACGTTGCCACATACAGACTAAAGTTCCTATTATAGATTTCTTTAAATATTCTCAGATCAGTTTTCCATGGCCAGATGCACACCCATAATCCCAGTGACTTGGGAGGTTGAGGCAGGAAAAAAAGGCTTTCCCACTTAACCTAAATTTAAAAAAACTCATTTACACATTTCCTGCAAGTTTCAAATCACAAGTTATGTCATTACTACAGAATCCTGAAAAGCAAACATATGTACATCCTTAAAACTTGTGTAAGCAAACTGGGTATGTTAGTTAGCACATGCCTATAATCCTAACTCTTAGAAAGGCTGAAGCAGGAGGATCATAAGTTCAAGGTTTTTAGCAAAACCCTATCAAAATTAAAAATAAAAATGAGTGGTGATATAGCTACATGGTAGAGCGCTTACTTAACATGCTCCAGGCCCTGGGCTGGATCCCCAATACACTCAAAATCTTGTGTTAAGCAAGTAAAATACGCAATTCTGATTTTTTTTTTTCTTTTCAGGGCTTGGGGATCATATTCAGAGCCTCATGCATACCAGGCAATGGCTCTACCAGTTCACAGCCCTAAATTTCCTCATTCTTTGCACCATTATACCCAGCTTTCTTAACACAATTTCTTCATCCTTGCAAATGTGGATCATCACTTTTGTGAAAGAGGGGATGAATATTTTAACTGAAATTCAAATTGTACTATTGGGAAGTAAAGTCAATCCATGACTTACTACTAACTTGATGGATAGTTATCATTCATTGGGTTTTTACCTGTTAATGCCATATATTGTCTTTTGTTTATACCATATTGTCTTAAATTACTTTTGCTTAGAGCTACAAGATGTAGGCTACTTTCCCCTCAACTTTAGAGATGAATGTTCCTTATTCATTAACCTTAGTTACCTACATTCCTCTAAAATGTAAAAGAATTAAAAACTGAAGAGCCCAATTTAGGGCAAGTAAACATCCAAGAAAAGGGACCAAGGCAGCCTCTTTGTAGCCTTGCCTGTAAGCAGAAGCTGGGATGCTTGGATAGGGTGCTCAACAGAGTCCTAGAGGCTCACATGTGGCCTCAGACACCATGGCAAGATCAGGTCTCAGCAGAGATGTTTTGAAAGTATGGTCTCAACAAGAACAAATATTTTGCCTAGAAAATTTTCAAGTGTTGAAGTTACAAATTCACTCTGAGTTTGCAGAAAATGATTCCCAGCCTTTCCCTAGAATTATAAAACACCAGTGTGCATAATACAAATGTGTGGCTACTTGAAACCACTATATCACATGCCACTTGCAGGGCCTTAGGATTTCGTTGTTATGGGTATTTAACCCAGGGGCATTTTGCCACTGAGCTATATCCTCAATTGTTTTAATTTAGGAAGACGATAGGGTCTCATTAAATTGTTTAGTGCTTCATTAAATTGCTGAGGCTGGCCTCAAACTTGTGATTCTCCTCTCAGCCTTGGGAGTTGCTGGGATTACAGGATTGTGCTACAGTTCCTGGCTTAGAAAATAATAACCCCTGTAAAATTCTCACTCCCAAGGTGCCAAAGCTGCAGCCACCATGTCCTAGGGCTACATCTGAATGTTCTAATAAAAAGTGAGCTAAGGACAAAAAGGCCCTGCTATGCTCCTTGATCATCATCTCATGTTGTTGTAGAGAGCAGTGGTACCTGGGATGAGATTACACTGTTTTCTCTCATTTTCTGTTACTGATGTGACATTAAGGACCCAGGTTTCTCCTCAGACCACAGAAAAATTAATAGCCTCATTATTCTGCTGGAATAATACACAAGAAACAGCAAATAAGTCAACTTTCACTTCTGAGATCAGGTGTAATAATTAACAGGTGTTGGGCACTCATGCCAGCACCGTGATAGCAACTTGTACATGGGGTCTATTTATCTCTGAGATTGAACTTTACACCTGTTTCCTCTCCTGTAAAATGGAGACAATGGAGAAATTTAGTAACCTTAACAAGGCCAACCAGCTCTTTAGAGATCTATGATAACACCTGTATGGTCTCCTGTGTGCTTCTTTTCCAATTCTTGTCAGCTGAGGGAATGATAAATACTTAGTGGTGAGGGGGAGCAGGTGTGATGGCCAAGATGTACACTGGAGACTGTCCAGTTTGCATCCAGGCTCTGCCATTTATCAGCCACATGACTTCAGAGGAATTTAAGTTTCCACTTTTTGGTTTTCATAYGTGTAATGCAGGTAACCATAGAAACTCCCTAAGTGTTCAGAGGAAGCAGAAAACAGTGCCCACATATGGTGTAAACATTAGCTGTTAGGATCTTTGATAAACCTAGCTGGGTGTGGTTGTGCACACCTGTGATCCCAATGGCTTGGGAGGCTAAGGCAGAAGCATCACAAATTCAAAGCCAGCCTCAACAACTTAGTAAAGCCCTAAGCAACTTAGCAAGATCCTGTCTCAAAATAAGACCTGGTCTCAAAATAAAAAGGTMTGGGAATATGGCTCAGTGTCCCTACGTTCAATCCCCAGTACAAAAAAAACCAAAACAATCCTCCTCTCCTGGTTGTTTCCATAAAGTTGAAAAAGACTAGAATTATGATGCCTTGCTCTGATGGGAACAGGATGTCTAAAGAGGATTTAGTAAAATGCTTCACATTTACTTATTTCTTTCCAAAATAAAGGACTAAGAAGCTGGGTCATTGTTACTGAGGGTCAGCCTCAATAGTTCAATGATTCTTGGAAAATAGGTCAGGAACAGCAGGAAAAGGGCAGAGCTGATGAATGAGTGGGCCAGAGGGAACACAGTATGTCAATCATACAGCAAGTTGGTATGTACTATAAAATGAGTACTCTCAGGAGTTTAATGCTACTTTTAAAAAATGTAAGATTTGAACTTGTGTGCACACAAATGTGGCATCACTTAGGGAAAATAAAATGGATAGTTCTACTCTTGCTAAGAATAGCATTGGGAAGTCCAAGTAGTATTGGAGATTGATACATGGGCTGGCTAAGACATGAAAATGTGCTGGCAACCCTTATTGACAAATGACATGCTTATTTTGGGGTGCATACCAGGTATTTGTACTGTTAGGTGCTGAGGATTCAACTTAGTATCTGGCAGGAACCCAGCCCTGATGAAGGAGACATGCAAATTATGTGACAATGGCTCTTACCAAGTAAGAAGTCAGGTACTTGGACCAGCTTTCCCAGCTTCTCTTATCTTGAAGTATATTCAAGGACCAAAAAAAAAAAAAAAAAAAAAAGGTTTACAAAATGTTCTGGCTTCCAGAGGACTTTCCATAAACAATAATCATATAACCCTTATCACAACTCTATGATAAAGCCTATTGTACCTATTTTATGGGTAAGGAAACTAAAACTCAGAGGTTAAATAATTGCCTGTTATGTTAAAACAAGTAGAGTTGGCATTTGAGCCCTTACTTGATTTCAAAGCCRGCCCTTTCTCCAGTGTACCAGGCCATAGAATCTCCTTTCCATCTCTGTCACTAAGGTTAGGAATAGTGTTTATTCCCCACGGTGGCAGCATTACTGCCTACAGAAAAACAATGGTGTGATTTGCTTAAAAGGCAAGGGCCATATAATTAGTCTGGTGCTACAAATTGGGGGTTTGATTTGAATAGGATTGTGGAACAAATTAAAGTTCCCTTAAATTTTTTAAAATATTTTTTTGTAGTTGGACACAATACCTTTATTTATTTTTATGTGGTGCTGAGGATTGAACCCAGTGCTTCACACATGCTAGGTAAGTACTCTACCACTGAGCCACAATCCAGCCCCTCCCTTAAATTTTGATGTCAGCATTTCAGTGAGGAAATGTTTGACTAAAATGTTTGACTAGGGCTTGCGATGTAGCTCAGTGGTAAAGCACCTACTTAGAATGTTTCAGGCCCAGGATTTGATCCCCAGAAACATCCCCTCCTCCCTGCCAAATTTTTTTTTTTTTTTTTTGCTAAACTGGGCTGGAGTCATACCTCTGTGGTAGAGCATGGTGGCTTAGCATGCCCAAGACTCTGGATTTAATCCTTAACACCCCTCCCCCGAAAACTTGACTAAATTAACTAAATTCTCTGTTAACACCTAGTTACCCATATTAGAGATGCTTATTCTTATTTGACCTTTGGTGTAAAGGAAGAAACCCTGATACATGACCTCTTCTACTATAGCGGCTATTTTTAAAAATAWTTTTTTAAAGTTATAGATGGGCACAATACCTTTATTTTACTTATTTATGTGGTGCTGAGGATTGAACCCAGTGCCTCACGCATGCGAGCCACAACCCCAGCCCACAGAAACTACTTTGTGATTTAGATAACTTTGATTTCTTGCTCTTTTCTCCAATCTATAAAATGAAGAAATTGCACAAGGTAGTTTTCCTACAGCCCTTTTGTGTTTAAAAACACTTTCCTATGCTATAAAATAATGACCACTCCAGTGTCCATTCCCTTTTGGCAATGGGTGTTTTCTGGTTCCCAGGAGACTCTAGATGGTATGTTCTTTGTGCTTGAATGTTATGCTCTGAGGCATGGTTTTAAAAAGTGTTATGGAGAAAAAGTACATCATTATTTAAATTGCTGCACCTGAACACATTTCTCAGTGAAATGTAAAAAGGAGAGCCTTGGTTTCAGGTGGATCTTTTTTGGTGGGGGGAGTGGGGGCGAGGGGTGGGGGGGACATGTGGTAGGTTTGCTGTAACCTTTCTTCATTCTACATTAAGAAGATTGTTCCACTCAAACATGTACATAAAGCCAGAGACAAGGGGTTCTTTTACAGTAATCTTTTACTTCTTCCCCAACTCACTGTCTTAGTTTCTAAAGACATTGGTTTTATAAAAACCAAACTTTAGTACTGAAACCAAAATCAGCTGAGTCTTTGCTGCAGAGGTACAGAGCTTATCTCTCTGCCCTCCCTTCCCACATCTTTCAGGGTGGAGACACAAATAATAAACTCCTTGGCAGTAAATAAATAACCGTTTGCTCTTGCCTCTCCCAATAAAAACAACAACAACAATAACAAAAAACCCCACTTAAAATTACATGAACTTTCTTTAAAGAATTTGAGGTGGAATTCATATAACAAATGCAACCACTTTAAAGTCAACAGTTCAGTGGCATTTCATACTTTCATAAAGTTGTACTTTGTGAATGTACCACCACTTCTATATAGTTTGGAGACATTTCCATTGTTTCAAAATCTGGGTCATTAGTTTCCCCCCATCCCCTCTCCTGAGTCAGTCCCCCTGCCACCCCCTGTCTCAGTTGTCTCCATGGATGTACCTACTTTGGATATTTCATATAGATATAATCAGATGACCTTTTTGAGACTCATCCATATTTTACCAGGTGTCAACACTTCATTTCTTTTTATAGCTAATGTTCTATTATATATGTACTACAAATTTTTATCCATTCATGTATTGAAAGGCATTTATGTTGTTTCCCACCTTTTGATTATTGTGAACAGTGTTGAAATGAAAGTTTGTTTTCAGTTTTATGGGGGTGTTTACCCCAGAGTAGAACTGCTGAATCATGTGTTAAGTCCTTAATTTCTTTTTTTTTAAATTATGGGGATTGAATCCAGTGKTGCTTCACCACTGAGCTACATCCCCAGCCTTTTTGTTTTTTAATTTTGAGAYGGTTTCACTAAGTTGTTGAGGCTAGTCTGGAAATTGATATCCTCCTGCCTCAGCCTCCCAAGTGCTGGGATTACAGGAATGTGCCACCACACCTAATTTCTTGAACCACCAGAGTTGAACAATTTTGCACTTCCATCAGCAACATACCAGAGTACTAATTCATTCTTGCAATCACTTGGGTTTTGTTTTTGTTTTTAAGAAAAATGTCTTATCCTTGATTCTGAATCCTGACAGCTGTGCTTCTCATCTCTGTTGGCACTCCTTTTTGGAATTCCCTCATTAGTACTATAAACCAGAAAACTTATCAGGTTTTCTCTTATGAAGCCTTCTTCTCTCCAACTTCATAGCTCTTAAGGAAGAATAGTACTAATTTTGGCTATTTTCCATTTCTCCTTATGCTAAATTTTTGTTCCTTTCATTAACCACCTTCCTTCCTGGCTTCCTGGCCACAAAAATATCAGAAGTTTCATGATTAGCTATATAGACATCAGAAGTGCCATCATGACAGTACAATGTGTGCATATACTTTTGAAGGTGATGGGATGGTGGTGAGAGATAAGTAGGAACTGTTAACTTCTCAAGGGTGAAGACTAATTCATGTTTTTATACTTCTAGGCAGTATAATCAAAGATCCCTTAAAAGCTAAGACTAATGCTAATGGTGCAAAATTTCCAATTCCTTCCCATACACTGAAAATTTACACTCTAGAACAGCTCCACTCTGTCTAAATCTATTAGTCAAATTAGGGAATCAAGACAATAACTAGAGATGAATGGTTCAAAGGAAGTGCTTACAGTGCTGAAGAAGTCACTCTGGGGTTGTGTTCCTGGAACACTTATAGAACATTCTATATTTAACCTCTGGGGGGCCAAAGATGACACCCATATAGTGCAAGAGATTTCATCATATGCAAAGTAACTGGAGATTATACAATTAAATTTTAATGTTAAGAAAAGTTTGGTATTTTTATATTAAAGATTATATGAACATGGTTTTCTTTGTAGGTGCCAAAGAACGTTCTGAGATCTATGAAGCATTTGAAAACATCTATCCTATTCTAAAAGGTTTTAAAAAAGCCTGAGCCTGTTATTCAACATTATATTGATTGAAATATGTACATAAGTCCAGTATAGCAACAGCTGAATTCTTGCACCTTTAATTGTAGATGTTCAAGTTTATTTTGGCTTTTCACAGGGTGGTTGATTCTATGTGAGTAACCATGCTTAAGAAATTAAGAAAATTTCTTGCTCAAAATTACTCTTGCATCTTATTTTAAAAATTGAATAAGAAAACTGTTCTTAGAATTTGATTTAGGGCCTTATTAGAATATTTTAGCATGATTAATATTCAATTTTCTGCTTTTGTTAAATATGTAGTACAGTAGCATGTGGTTTCTGAATATGTAGCAATGTATAAAATTGCAAATAACTGCATAAACTAATATCTGTAATATCATTTAGCAGCATAGATTTTTTTTCTTTTTAAAATATTGAGATTATCCTGACCATTAGATAAAGGTACTATAAAGGATCCTGTGGGAATGCAAGTGAAACATGAAAAGTTTGAGGGTCAGGATTGGAGCTCAGTGGCAGAGCACTTGCCTAGCATATGTGAGGCACTGGATTCAAGTCTCATGACCACATATAAATAAAAATAAAGGTCTATCAATTAAAAAATTAAAAAAATTAAAAATCTGAAACCTGAATCTTTTGTTTGAAATATCCAGAGAAAATTGTCACTTAAAAATCTCACTTTTGGGCTGGGACTGTGGCTCAGCTATAGAGCACTTGCCTAGCATGTGTGAGGCCCTGGGTTCAGTCCTCAGCACCACATAAAAATAAGTAAAGGTACTGTGTCCAACTACAACTAAAAAATATTAAAAAAAACTTTCAGGAACCATTCAGGTTTAGAGTAAGCCATTTTGGAAACAATACAAATTGTTTTCTGCATACTCTTAGACTCCATAGTAACTATTTAAGCAACCCAGATAAGACTGAGGATGGAAGTGCAAAGGGTACAGACTGAAGACTTAACTAGGTTGTAGCATCACCAGCATTTACAGAAATGTCGGGTTAACAGGGATGAAACTAACATTACCTATGTGGCATTGATTATGTCCTTCAAGAGACACTTCAGTCTCTCTAATGCAGAGACTGTATGTGATGGCTTCAGAACATCTCTTCATACCTAGGAGGCAGTTCTGAGTCTCTGAGTGTGGAACTTGGAGAGAATTCCCAACTAGAGAGTTCAGGGCAGTAGTCAGTGGCAATTCTACTGAAATAATCCTTGAAAATCGGTCTAAATTATTTGACCCACAAACCTACTTTTCTTTTTTATCCTGTAGTTTAGAGACAGTCGAACCTTCTCACCCACCACCTTACTTAACCCCCAGAAACTTACTCGAAGGGAAACCCTAACCTACCTAATTCAAATTCTTTCAGAACATGGGGTCGGGAAGGAAGGTTGGCCATTAGTTATTAGAATTGCTTTCAAAAACACACAACTTTGATCTACACATTGAGTTTGGTTGGTTTCACTGGTTGATAGAGGCAAAGTATGAGATTATTAAATGGATCTACTTAATTCTTATGGCACTAGGCAGATACTGTAATTATATCCATTTACGAGGAGAAAAAAACACAGGTTAAAGAATTTGCTCCAAATCACGCAGCTATTAAGTAGGTGGGTGAGCCAAACTTTTACCTGGCTCCAAGACTCAACCCCTCACCCAACTTTTTCTTGTGGTTTTAGCCAAACTGAAAAGCAGCCTTAGAAAATCGAATTCCCTTGTTCTGTTTCCCATTCCTTTCCCCCAGGATCCTTAGGGCATCGTATAGCTATTTTTTTGCATAAATTTGAGGCGGTAACTYGAAACCTTGACCTCGTCCAGCAGTCAATGCTTTGTTTGGCGGATTCGCAGTGGATAGAACTCGCTGCGGCTCGGAGGGCTGGCGAAGCGGCAGCTGAGGCGGGGCCGGGGTCCTCTAAGACCCACGCCCGCCCAGCGCGCTTCCTAGGCCCCTCCTCCGAGCCCAGGATGCACCTGGTTGAAAACAAAATCCCACGTGACCGGCCCTGCGCTCAGGCCATCATGGCGTCTCCCAGTGGGAAGGGATCCCGGGCGCCCGAGACTCCTGGCTGCGGGCCCCAGACGCTCGCCCGGGACCTGGTGGACTCCGTGGATTACCCTGAGGGGCTGTATGTGGCGGTCGAGCGGTGTCCGCTCTGCAACACCACCCGCCGGCGGCTGACCTGCGCCAAGTGTGTCCAGAGCGGCGATTTCGTCTACTTCGATGGCCGGGACCGGGAGAGGTACGGCGGCCGCCACGGCCCTATTGTTTTTTCTCTGTCTCTCTTGCCCGGCGATCAAACACTGGAGATTCGGGCCCGGGGCCCCTAGTATTGGTCCGGATGCCAGGCATCCGGGGAGGGGTAGTGGCTGTACGCCGGCGCTTGCTTGTCAGTGAACGGGGTCGGGGTCGGGGGTGTCAGGTGAGAGAAGGTCGCTGTTTCTCCATCACCCACCTGAGAGGAGTTTGACCCCACTGTGCTACTGGTTACTAGGGARAGAGGAATAGATGGTGGTTCTCGGGAGAAGTCCTCCCCTGTTGCTGCCATAGAGTGGGAGTCCTATTTCTTTGCTATAGTCCCATTCATAAAGCTTGGTTTAACCTTTTTCTGTCTTCGGAAGCACAGTCGTTATCATTTGTCTCAAGAGGAGAGATGAAGAGAGAATCAAATAATTGAGAGACACTTGGGCCCTGTTAGTCCGAGTCACAGATAAGCCTTTTTATCAAATGATCTTACTCCGGTGTGTGAACTAGGACTAGCTGGTTGCTCCCTTTCCCTCCTCCCTATCTTAGAAGATTATTTTGGCTRCCTAGGGTTTGAGAGTCGTGTTTTGGCTTTGTTTTAAAATTCACATCCGGAGCTGCAGGCCTTTAGTTAAGAAAATTGCATTTAGCAATGTGTTATGGCTTCAATTTGGAATCTAAATAGAGCCACAAGCCCTGCTAAAGGCCTTGAAAAAGCATGATTAGCAGTAGGGTCTTCCATTCCCATACTTTGTTTCACTAGTTTAGTTCCAATGATGGTAAGATATTTGAACTTTCATGTTCAAAGARTTAGCGGTGTATTCTTTTACAATAACCCAGTAAGTTATCCCCAATTTATTACTGAGAAAACCAAGGCACAGTAAGTGCCTTGCCCTACCTCATACCGATAATAACGGTAAGGATCGGAATTAAAACCCAGACAATGTGAATTCGTATACCCATGCATTTAATTACTTGTACTCTACAACCTCTAGATTTGGGAATTGTTCACATTCCTAGTATCCTTGTGATCATAGATGGGAGTTCTTTTCTCTTTTAAGGAGATATATACATTTTTTTAAAAAAAATTGGCACCTGCCACATTGAAGCATTAGATGACTTTACAACCACCCATATCATAAGTGATAGTGTTAAAAATTAAAAACAGTTTTATTATAAGAATACTGGTGTGAGATGGAAATGTCTAATTGATTTAGTTTATCAAGGGTTTAGTTCTGGGTCTTCTCTCCATCTATACTGTTTCTTAGGAATATTCCCATGATTTATGCCCTCTAGATGCTGAAGTTTATCAAGTCATATATCTTCAACTTGGACCTCTCTGAAATCCAGAAAACAGCTGCTTATTCAACTTCTGTGTTTAAGAGCCACAAGCCTTAAACTTAAGTATCCCATCTTAATATGGCAAACTGAACTCTTGATTTTAAATTTATAAATCTGTTCCTCATACCTCATACCAACTCAGTAAATGGCAATGCCATTTTTCCTTTATGTAGGCCAAAAAAGAAAAATCTTCCAGTCCTCTTTGACTCCATTGTTAAGCAGCTATATTTAATTTCATCAACAAATCCTATCTACTCTTTAAAACCTGTACTGAATCTTATCCTCTCACCATCACCTGGTATGATCCACTAGAGGATTACTGCCTCTTGTGTCTCTGTTTCCACCCTTGCCTGCCCTGTTATTGYAATTTCCTTCTTGTAGTCAGAGTAATGCTACTCCTTCATTCTTTTGTTCAAATTGTCAGCACTTTTCCATTTTGCCCCAAGTAAAAGCCAGATCCTCAACCAAAGTTCCRTATCATCTGTTCCTCCTCTGATCTAATCTCATTATCTTTTTTTTTTTTTTTGGCTTTCTGAGACTGGTTTATTTCACTAAGCATATGTTCTCCATCTCCATCCATTGATCAGCAAATGCCATGATTTCGTGAGTAAAACCCTATAGTGCATATCTACCACATTTTAAAAAATCCATTCATGTACAAGGTGGTAAAAGAAAGTAGGTAAAGAAGATAATGAGAATGAGTGTTCTCATTATCTTCTTTACCTACTTTCTTTTACCACCTTGGCTTCTTTGTCAAGAACACTCTCTTAGGGCCTTCCGCAGTTACATTCAGATTGCCAAGATCTTTTCTCCCAAAATATTCAGGACAGTTTGTTTTGTTTAAACCCTGCTTATACATTATAAAGACTCTTTAGGATCCTTCAATTAAAATAGTAACCTCTTTACTACTTAACCTGCTTTATTCCGTATCACTTATCATCATCGGATGGTTCACAGGTTAATTTGTCTAACTGTGCCCCCCACTCCAGTGATGTAAAACTATATGCAGGCAAGACTTTATGTACACTGTTCTATCTTCACATAGTTCAATAATGAAATGATTGAATGAATCTACCCCTCCTTTGCAAGTAATCTATTCCTGGACTATTTCAGTATCTTCATCCTGATCCAAAGCTAGAAGCCCGGGAGTTAGGTTAGCCTTCTCTTTTCTTGTATTCCCTACATCTAAGTCATTGGCCTAATGCAGTCTGACACTAGAATACATCTTGAATGTGTCCACTTCTGATCCWGGCCACTGTTTTTTCCATTGTTACTACTTAATGATCTTTTACTCAAGACTCCCYCTCCCACTTCTCTCCTCACAGCAGCTTCAGTAGAAATGTAAAGCAGATAATGCCACTGTTGCTTAAATCTTTCAATGGCACTCCACTTTATTTAAAATAAAATCCAATCTCCTTGCAAAGGCATATGAAGCCCCATGTGATTTGGCAGCTGCTTGCTTCTCTAACTTTGGCTATAAGGTTGAGTTAAAAATGTGAGCTTTGCATTCATGTTACATCTAATTAAATCCAAATCCCACAACTTACTATATGATTTGGACCAAGTTTCTTAACCTCTTATGCCTTTTTCATTTTGAAAAAGATTGGGTGTCAAGTGTCTAGTAATGATTTTATAAAAGCATGCATATAAAGGGCCTAGCCGGATGTCTAGCAAATATTAGGCACTTAAAAAAAAATGCGTGCCATCCTCCCCACCTTATTCACTGCTCCATAGTCATGACCTTCTCTAAAATCYGTAAGCACATGCTGTCCCTTCTGCTTACATCACTTTTCTTTTTGTCTGTTATCTTAACTTTAATCTCCAAACTTAAATGTCACTTCCTCAGTGAGGGCTTACCTGACCTTCCTCAATGAGGTAGATTTCCACCTCCATCTCTCACCATTATTTGTCATAATAACATTTGCCGCAGTCTTGGCTGGGCACAAAATCAYGAGCCACTCAYAGCTTTGTAGATTCAAACAGCAATTCTTTATTCCCGAACTCACACCGGCCTCTACACATGTTCTGGGGAAATCCAAGTTCTGCCGCGCAATTCACGTCCCAAATACTTTTTTAATTCCACGAGAACTCAACTGGAACTCAGGCAGCAGGAACGCCCTATTCCCAGCAGGAATAACCTTAAACCTGGAACTGCCTTAAACCCAGATTGTCTTTAACCGGAACGCCTTAAACTTGTCTTAAACCAGGAACACCTTAAACCCAAATTATCCTAAAGGGGATACTTCCTAAAACCTGCAGGATACACCCTAAACCTGAATCCACCCTCGTCCTTGATCAGGGTCACCTTTCTCAAACACACATGCAATGTCACAGCGAATTTCCAAGGCAAGTCCATTTAACATGGGGTAGGCTGGCAAGGAAATTTCGATGCGTCATTCCTACTTGGCAATKGCCCTCAGCAAACATTCAGTTTATTTCTTGTTTGGTGGTAGGCATGATGTGTAATGCTATTTGAGAAAAATATCTGCATCTAGAATGTAGTTCCATGAAAGCATGACTTAGCAGCAGGAGATGGCACATAGACCATTATCAAAGAAAGAGAAAAGGCAAAACTACTTTTAAAACTTTAGGCTGGTGTGGGGGTGTGGACCTCAGTGGTAGATTGTGCTTCCCTAGCATGTGTGAGGCCCTGGGTTTAATCCCCAGCATTGAAAAAACAAAAACAAAAAAACCCTTACATATAGATTCTTTGCCAAATTTTAGCATTACAGTGAATATTCAGAAAAATAATTTATTATATTGGATTTCTTTTCCTGACCAAACAGAAAAAATGGAGAGCAAATTCCCCAACGATTCATAATTTGGAGCTACAAAAGAGAGTTTGGGGTTCAGGGGTAACAGGACTGCCACAGAGATCTGTTCAACCAGCTTCCCTTCTTTCTCCCATCTCTGAACTCCATGTGCCTTTAAAAGAGGGTTTTGTTTTTCTTTGTTTCTGGACGTTGCTCAGTGTCTAGTAGGGTGAAAGAATCTTTTGAGATCCAGGACCACTGTCCTAATAGCCAACTAATTTTTAATGGTTTCTCATTGGGTACCATTATATGCATAAAACATTCTGGCAAGTTACAGAGAAAGATGAGTCTCTGCTCTCAAGGATTTACACTGACTGCTAGTTTTAATGGCTTAGCGATTCAAGGGAAATTAGGTATTGAATAGATCCTTTAACTCCCAAGAAGGGAGTCTGTCATATACTTCGGTGAACCGTATGAATGTGGCATATAGATTTGTTGGRAAAATATCCAAAATTTATCTTTCTTTGTTTTATGGGATAACCTCATAACTTTTGTATCCTCACCCACATGATCCTTCCTTATCGTCTTCCTTGCCCCCTGTCTTAAAACAACATGTTCTTTTCTGCCTTTTTGTCCACATTTTAACTTAGGTTCCCTTAGGAGAGGAATGATAACAAGCAGTATAATCTTTGGGTGTAGTAACTTCTGAACAGTTTAAAATTACAGGCCTTTTAACAGGAGTGTAATTTTCTGGATTTTACATTTATCTGACTCAAAAGAGCATTCTAAGCATAGATATTATCAGCATAGATAACTGGTAGGTTGAGTAATCTTTCCACCCCAAACCAAGAAATTGGTTATCAGTTCATGATAGGTGGAGGAATGGGGCCAGGATTGAGATCTG